GATCGTACAGATAGCTGCCCATTACCTCGAGTTGAACAGGGAAAAATTAAAATGATATCAAACCTCTAAAACAAAAACAGTGCATTCCAGGGTAAAAACCATCTCAGATGTAAAGTAGGATAAAGAAAAAGTATGAACAAAGTAACAACTTTAATTATTTAGTATTTAACATCTCATTACTGCGACAAAAAAGATATAAACATAAAGGATCCAAAAAATCCAGAAATTATGCTGGTACTATACGTAGAGCACTAGACAAAAGACCAGAAAGACACCAACCTAAATTTTACAAACTATGGCATCCCCGAGTGCTAACTTATAGATCGAAATTGGGACAGTCAATAGTCAGACAGAGAAAGACGAAGCGGCAGAATGAGATCCTGAGACCATTACCAGGATATATACTACTAGATCGTAAAGAAATGAAGACATCAGAGTGAACTACAGATCACCAGCATACTTCGACTCAACGAGGAAGAATTGGCTCTAACACTAACCAAGAATGCCACAAGAACGGCTTTCCAAGACTATCCTCGAATACAAACCAAAGGGGAAACGACCAGAGCAGACCCCACACAAGATGGAGAGAGATCTTGAGAGCGGAAAGGGCACAGGCCAAACCTTGTAGCTATGATATAATAAAATTTCTTCTGTTATTCGCAACTTAATTACTCACGAATATTGCAGTCTCTCCATAAATCGTATTTTTCTTCCCAATTCTCCAATTACAAATGGACCACATGTCCAATTTTCTCTTCGGACTAATTACAAAAAAAAAATATTTCCATTTATGCCCTGAAGGCCATCGATGCTTTCTCTACCAAATCCAGAATAGTTCTTACTAATCACAAAATATTTCTACACAACATCTTGACAGCCATCGATCACCACCCTACCAAATCTGACATCATTCTTACTAAAATTGTTCGCTTACACCTTCCAGCTGGATTAACCGGTTCACTTGTTCCATCGTTAAATTTCTTCCTCGATGCGATCGTGTCGCATCGTAACCAAGCATCAAGCATGATTTTTCCCTTGTCAACAACGTCCTATAATATTTATCTGTATTATTAAAAATATCTTAAATCCTGCACTGCGTTGAAGCCAAGGAGAACACGTCGTCCCCGCCAGCAACGCCACTGAGGATGCCACAGTTGCTGGCGGACGTATGGACCAGTTTCCGTTTAACCACGGTCTACAAACCCGGAGATATCTAATTATATGTTTAAACATTTGACAAAGGCTCATGAAAGGCGCAGTCTGGGAAAACCGTACATTGTATGTTTACACGTGTGTTTAAAAAGAGTGAGAAAAAGGAAAAAGTTAATATTAAATTCAAAAAAAGGTCGCTCCCTTCCCTTTTATATCAGTTCGCAGTCTTATGAAACTTCATAAAAAAGCTCTTTACAAATAAAGTTTTACTCACCAGCCCGCCTGAGTTATTTATGAATTTTATCCTCGGGCATCAACGTCGATGTGGTTGAAAAATAGTATATATGTCAATGTATCTGTCAATGTGTCAATCCTGTCAATGATAAATTTGTGATCGCTAAGAAAATTAAAATGTAAATTACATCATGAAATTGCAAAAATATATAAATTTATTCTCTGTATTAATTTATTATAATAAATTTTATTTGTACTAAAATTCAGTTTATAATCACAACATTAAATTAATGACATGTTTTTAATTAGGAGGCCCCGTATTGTAGTGGGCCAAGGACTTCCCCTGTTGAACTTCCCCATTGCTTGCGGTAGTCTGGACGTTACAAAAATCCCGGAATTAATTGTTTGGGAGACATTTTACAATCATCAGAGACCATAAAGCACTTATTTTCCTGAAGCATAGCCATTTCCAAAATCATCGGTTAATGAGACGGTTATAAATAGTTACAAAACATTCATTTTGACACGCATTTTTTTCCTGGAAAGCTAATCATTTCGCAGATTACTGAAGTTGCATACTGAAACCAGATCAAACAAATGTCATTCACGAGGCGTACTTTCTGATCAATGTTATTAAAACAGATAGTATGATTACAGAAATGAGGTGAGCCAAATTTAGTTTAGAACAACAGTCAGATGCTATAATCGGTTAAATACATTGTCTGGAAAGGCGATATATCTCAGGATGACTCTGAATACCTTGTCTTACAGTCGATATCTAGAAATTTCTTGATAATATCTTATATCGTGATGTTTCGAATAAATTGTCAAAACCCTGAGTACTGTATCGTAGGATGGACCCGTAGAGATCACTGGCACATATTTCGTTAGTTCCTTACAGATTATGGGTTTGAAAGATCCATGATACGATCTGTTAGCATGTTTGAAAATTTGGTGGTAATCGATCTTTTACAATATTACTTTTATTCTGATCTGTGCAATTATGCGAATGTAAATTATCTTGAAAGATCGATAAATAGAGAGATGGACAGAGACAGATAGAGAGATAGATAGAGAGAGAGAGAAAGAAAGAAAGAAATAATGAAAGAAAGAAAGAAAGAAAGAGTGAATGCGAGAAAGTGACCCCGTATATGTATGAGACGTCATAACCGTAACTAACGTAATCGAAACACACAAGTTCGAAGTTCCCGCGCAGAAGGACGCGGACGGTGGGCTACGAACCAGAAGCCCTCGGCGTGAAGGAAGGGTAACCCTTTCGAGGGGAACAGAGAGGGGGGAGGCCGCTGCTGGCAGGCAGTAGTTCAGTTGCTACCAGGTTGCTACACCGACGAGAGCGGACGCGTCGCCAGGTAGGCGGCGGCTGTTTTACGGATACGTTGTAGGGGAGTGTGATAAGGTTTTCCGTAGTACCCATCGATGGGAAAGAATGGCAGTATAAAAGTCGTTGATACAAATCAGGCAGTTAATAGCACCAGCAGTATGTCGAGCAGAACAGTTTTGAGTAAGAAACAGATTTAAGTGGACTTTGGACAGAAACGATCTTCAGACATTCAACTGCACGTGATGGGGTACTGTAGATAAACGATAATAGGATAATATTGAGAAGGATAATATTGAGAAGGATAATATTATCCTATTGTAGGATAATATTGTCCCTTCAAGACTCAGAGCTGGAAGGAGGGGTGGGACATTGTCATGGGATCGAAAGCTTTGTTACAAGTTTTTGGTATTGAATGAGGTGTCCTCTTTCCAGCTCGTAACATTGAAGAGACACATCGGAGAGCAGTGTCGCTGGGATCTTCGTAGGTATTGTGCCGACGAGTCGCGCTTCGGGAAACCTCCATGCTGCTCGGTTGGTGTCGGAGACAAGCAGACTTCTTTTTCTTTCTTGTCTATCCGAACAGTGTTTAAACCACTAAACAGGTTTTAAATAGTTACAATGTAGCAAAATAAAAGCTACAAAACATTTTTACAATATACTCTAGTAACCTAGTTATGCCGTTTGCGCTGGCGCAGCGGCTGACTACGGGGGAGGGGGGTCACAAGGCCAAGGTAGCGCGACTGCGCGTTGAAGCACGAGCGGAGGGTTTCATTTGGAGAATTGAAATTGAATGAAATTATGCAGGAAAAGTCAAAGCGACAAAATGGTTCAAAAAGGACTTGGAAATTTGCGACAAGACTAAAAAGGTTGAGTACCAAGGATGCTCGCCGAAAATCATGTGGAATATGGTTGTAGGAATGTTTGAATGGTTTTGCATATTCACTTTGCGGAAAGTTGAAAATCCCCAAGAAATGTTTCATGTATTTCAGTATTAGGACTTGTAATACATTAATTTTTGAAGAATAATGCAATGATTTTGCAAATTCTAGAACAATAAAATTGTTTTAAAGCAGAGGTATAGGTCTCTGAAAATGTAATTGAAGTATTTTATATTGACCTATATCTCTACAGGTTGTAGGGAACTATGGTAACGAAATCTTTCAGTGCACCTTGACTTAAAAACTTAACTAACCAATTTACAACTAATCACTTAGTTCTTTTTTGTGAAAGGACACAAGTAAGACAGATGATGGATTTTATAAATTATCGCTAATGTTTACATTCAAAAGCGCTCTTTAATCTCAAGAAAATCATAATTTTCGCATCACTATGAATTATTTTAACGCGCTTTCCTTGAAAATGTAAAATGATTCAATCGACACATTTCAACTCTCTCAATAAAGTAGTGAAAATTGACAATAGGTAACTGCTCATTGAATTAATACACACGTATAATTGCTCTATCTTGTAATAGACCAAAAATATATAATGAACAAATTTTCAGTTATTTTCCAGTGTGTTCAAATGTATCACGGACGCTTAATGTAAAATAACCTCACCAAATTAAAATTCATTAATGACCTTCGACGCGGTAGAACTATATTTTTTCCAGGCGTATTTACAAAGTTTCAGCTCAAAAGCATCATGATCTGACGAGGTGGACGTGACACAACAAATTCCATTGTCCACCTGGATGTGCATACAAACATCCTGATTGGCTACAAAATACCATGCATTTACCCACCTCCTGCACCAATCTAAACAATTTTCGAAACGGATCTAAAGTGCGTTTGTCCTGACGTTATGCTTTCCCTCTGTTTTAGTATTGGAGATAGTGTAACAATTATATATCGAACATTTTATTTACTTTACGAGAAATATAATTCTGCAAACGTCAATTTTTCTGAAAAAGTTGATCAAAGGAAATATTTGAAATAAAACTTTCGTGAATTGAGTAGAAAACATGGATGTATTTAATCCATCACCATCTAACGCATCATGAATTTAAAATATATTCGTTATAAACATTTATTTTGCTCTCTCATATCTTGAAAACTACAGAAGAGTACAGCTCAGCAGCTAGCCTAGCTGTCATTGTAACAGTGAAACAAATAACTCAATACTGCAAGTTTCGTAGAAAATTTTAATCCCCAATAATTAAATGCTCAATGATGGAAAATACTATTTGATTACTCAGACATGAAGTGTCGTACAATCAAATGTTAAGGAAATGTAGCCTGAAAGAAACATTCTAATACAGTCTCTTGCACAGGTTCATAGTGCGCAGCATGTATCAGCCGGGCCTGTACGTGCGCAGCAACGCTGCGCAGCGGGAGTGCGTGTCGCGCATGCTGCGCGAGTGGGCGGGGCGGCTGCGATGGTCGCGCGAGGAGCAGGAGGCCGTGCTGGACGTGGGCTGCGGCCCGGGCGACGTGACGGCGCAGCTCCTGCTGCCGCGCCTGCCCAGCAGCGTGCGCGTGCTGGTGGGCCACGACGTGAGCGAGGAGATGGTGCGCCATGCCGCCGCCGCCCACGCCGCGCTGGCGCCGCGCCTGTGCTTCCTGTGCACGGACATCGCCGCGCGCGACCTGCCGGCCACGCCGCTGGGAGCATGCGCACAGCAACTCCAGGGGTTCCACAAGGTCTTCTCCTTCTACGCGCTCCACTGGGTGGTCGACCAACGGTGAGATGGGCGTTCGCCGCGCCACTTTGCAATTCCATCGCTTAGCACTATTCGAGGTGGAAAGATATATTAGCTTACGACCACCCCCCTATTGGTACAATGAACGACATTTTTTTAAGGAGCAATATTTGTTGCGTAGAAGCGGGTATCTAAACTTAGGAATATTATTACATATTACACGTAATACCAGTGACAGAATTAGAATGAAACTCAATGACAAGTGTAAAGAAAGTACGTAATTGTGCTGTAGTATTAAAATATTTTCTCTCTCGGTACAATTCAAGGAAAATACGAGAAAGTAAGATTGGCCTTCTAGCTATCTTAGGAGATATAAATGAAATCTGCAGCAAAGGAGGTAAGAATGAAGATAAGCGGCCTAGGTATAGCAGGTAGAACTGAGAAAGGTGAGGATGTGAAGAACTGTTCATTTGATTTCTTTAAACATAATATTAGAAACTTTCTCTAAGGAAAATGTTCCATTTACAATGTTGTTGGTGGAGTGAGCACTAAAATATTTTCACTTGGGCAGATTTCGTAAATTCAAAATATTTCTGTGAAAATCTGACCTGCACAATTTTTATAACAATATAAATGGAAGGAGAAAAGAAATTTTAAAAAATGAATTTTTGAAAAGTGCCGGAAATATCTGAAATATCAATATTAAGTTTCTCCAGAAACTGAAATATTTCATATTCATGTAGGCTACAATCAGAATAATCAAGAAATATATTTTGCTGAAAATCTTGTAAAAAATTTTAACTGTAGAGTTCAGAATGATACAGTACTTTTCAATCAAAGGTGAAATACTTAATTTTTTAATATTTCCCAAGTTCGTGTATTTGCACATGCAGAGGTTTTTCATGTGCAGACATCGCATAGTTTTAAGTCAATTTATGGGTGCACGCGGACAAAAAAAAGATAGCTAATTTAAAAACGATTAATTCCATAACTGCACGTTTTAATTTGCAGTTATTCAGTTCTTGGAACCGTAAAACCAGTATTTGGTAATGGCGCTGAGTGGAATTCTAAAAATGTTGGTACACTTTACTAAAGATTTTATATTTAATAAGAATTTTCAATGAAAGAGAAATCAGATTACGTAACCATTGAGTAATTTTGACATAGATTTCTGCAAGTATTTATTTGGTTACTTGATGTGCAATTACATGCATACCAATGATTCCTTACTACAAAAATGTTTTTCGTTAAGAGTAAAGGAAACCTTCTCAGGCTTCTCATGTGTGTAGGTGGGATCTAGAATGCATTAAGTAGAGTAAGTTCAAGTATGTTAACTCTTTCGTTGTTGACGTTGGTTGTGACGATTGCTGTTGACAGAACTGCACTTCGCAACATACACAGCCTGCTGCGGCCAGGAGGAGAGGCACTCCTGTCGTTGGTGGCCAATTCACCCATGTTCGATACATATATCACTATGCAAAACAACCCCCGTTGGTGTGAATTCATGCAGGTAGGTTGACACCTGTTATTTGAAGTACGTTACTTTGAAGTAACAACCACGTTATTTTGAAGTAACAATAAAACAGATCCAAAATATTTTATTTTACACATTTCCTTCTCTAAATTCACCATTTCCGCGTTTCATTCTTGAGCTCTGTTTCTCACAATATAGTGAAATTATTAAAGCAACGTTTGTTAGGACGCTTACAGCTTCATGCCGCCCTACAAACGCTCAATAGATCCTGTGAACGACTTTTCTGTGGTGCTGCAACAGGCGGGGTTCAACATTTACTCGTGCCGACTGGAGCACTTCAGCTACCGGTATCCCACAATGCAGGAGTTCGGAGGTGAGCTTTCGCCATGTTTTCTGCAGCATTAAACTGTGGGGGGGGGTATTTTTGTGTTTATGCTCCATTATAAAGTAATACTACTCGCTTTGTATTCTTTATTCTCAAATTAATATTTTACGTTTAAAATAATTATAAATATTCATAAATTAGTAAACTTTTGTGTATTTATTGGCTATTTCTAATTAAAATGTATCTTATCCCTTTTTTTGTTATTTACACGGTGTTAAATTGATGCAATTTTGTTACAACTATTTTTCCAATTTTTAATTGATTGGCAATATTGTACTGAAAGTAATTGATTATGAACTAGGTCTTATTATTAGCTTTATCCATTTTATTAAATTTCATAATTATCTCTTATTCCTGTGAGTTTAGACCTCAGTATGTCAGGCTTAATATCTAATGTCTTTATTGGAGCTCTTCGAAATCTATTACTTTTATAAATTCAAGAATTTAGTGTGGTTTTATGAAAGTTTTTCCATGGGACATGGTCATTGTAGTTCTTGGCTGTTTAATTTTTGAGCTAGGTGCTGCCTTGCATTTCCTAAAATTAGAAACAAAGTTATATTTTGTGATTCACTAATTGCTCTACACTTGAACAGGGGCATGTTGGAGTGTCAATTATTTTGAATATGTGGTGGTAAATTTTTAATGGTCTATGAGGTCCAAATGGTCCATGGTAGGGATTTTATTGCACATTGCAATTTTTATCAGTAATCTGTCTTCTATGTTTGGTAAAGTGTCTTTTTTTGTTGTTGTTGATCTATGTGTCTACTTGCCATTGCTTTCCCCATTCATCTAGGCTTTCTGCTTGTAATTGTTTTTAAACTTCACTGATGGGTACTTTTCCGTAACTTTCGTCTTGGTCAATTCCCTGCACTGTTTGCTAGCTGGTCTGCATTTTCATTACCATTGTCATTGTTGAGAGATTTCACTAATTTAATGTTAATTATCCAATTCTCTGCTTGTAGTTCTCTAATCATTTCTTTTTTCTGTTGTTAAGTAGTCATGATTATTGGTCTTGTGAATGGTATTTATTACATGCATATTGTCTGTGTATAATATCAGTGTTTTGTTTAATAGATTGTTTTTTTTTATTTCTAGTGTTTTGTATATGGCATATTGTTCTGCTTGATTTACAGTGCCGCTATTCTTTAATTTATGCTGCAGTCCATTTGTTAATTTCTCATTGTAAATACCTACCTCTGACCCCACTATTTTTTCATTTTTGCTCAATCTGTAAATTGCTCAAAACTATAGCAATTGTCTTAAATTCGTATTGTTTGTGCTGGATTGGGCTGAAATTTATATAATGTTGGTTTATCTATGACTTCATATTTTATTTAGTTGTCTAATTTTTGTCTCCCCTTCTTTTATGATGATACTTTCATGGTAAACCTATTTTCATGCACAAGGCTTCTGAGAATGTGGTTTAAAATGCTTTTCCAATTTTAATGTTTATTAGTCTCTGGACTCTGATGTATTTAATCCGATTCTGCTTTAGATTCACTGCATCAATCCATACCGGTTCCATACAATAACAAGGGTAATATTGCTCCTTTGTATATAGTGTTTAATGTTCAATGATTCAGACCCCAATTTAGTTTTGCACATTTGGAGAGTAAGTGGATTAGTTTGAGGCATGTTGTGGCGTCATATCAGTCGCCTTGTACAAACGTGACAAAATATTAGCCACTTGCATTTCGTGCTCATGGACAGCGCTGGCGGAAGAGACACTGGGCTGAACAAAGGCAAGCCTAGGGAGCGGAAGGGAAGGGGTGCCGTGTCGTGGGTGGCCGCTTGTGAACCCCGTAAACAGGCCAGCTGCGGACACGCGTCGGCGGAAACAGCGAGATGACGCAGATCCGTCAGGCGGCCCAGAAGGTAATATAAACGGACCCCGGACCTAAACTCCTTCTTCTGATTCTTGGGCGCGTCGGTAGGAAGTCGTGTGGGTTGTGCGCGGCGCTGCATTTCAATGCATAGGCTACTGAGTCAGGGAACTGAAGCTGGCGTGCTATGTCGAGACGGGAGGTGCGGCATACTCGCTTGTATGCTCACGTAGGCCATTGGTGCATCACACCGAATAAGATATCTAATTATCAGGCCAGCGGTGGTGGTAACCAGGAACATTCCTTCTAGTAACGGGTAATTATTGTTTATTGTAATTATTGTACATAGTATTCATGTGTTGAAGCATTTTTCATATAAATACTCCATACATTACAAACCGTTCACGTCTGTGATTTATTGACCCGGCAAAGACGCCACAAGGTTACTTGCATATTCTGTTTTTTGAATGATAGTTTCTGATCAAATATTATGCCAAGATATTTCAATTGATTTACCTGTTGTAATTTATTTCCTAAGATGACTGAAATTTCTTTCTTTTCCTTTTCAATAGTAGCACAATTGATTAAATACTATCTTATTTCCTTATGCCGTTTTTGGTAAAATAGAATTTTCACCATCTCTGTATTAATGACGTTTTCTACCTCCTTTTCTGTACTCCTTTTTGTTACCAGAATAAAATCTGTAATTGCATATGTGCTTGAATGTTTATAATATTTTGTATTGAGTAAAGAATTGTACTGGATGTTCCAGTACCCTGGAACACAGTGTGGTCCTGGGGGGCAGCCTCTGATTCTCTTTAAATTTTGAATTTATTGGTTGTTAATGTGCCAGTTCTGTCACTGAAGTAACGTTTTGTTATGTTGTAGAGATTTTTAGGGGACTGCGTTTCTCTTAATGAGTTAGTATATTGGGCTACCACGTTGCATCAAATGCTCCTTTTACATGTAGACTGTCTCTTCCTAGTTTTGTTGGTGAATACTTTCTGAATTTCTTCTTTAACAGACATTGCAGTGCTTCTTTGTGGTGTGAATTCAAATTTATGGTTCATCGATTATTTAGAGTACACATAATGCATGATTCTCTTAATATTTTTTTAGTATTTTTCCTCCTTCATTCAACAGGATAATTAATCTAATTTTGAAATCTTTATACTTTTCCTTTTCTTGTTTAATAATTGGAATGATCAGAACTCTCTTCCACGAATTAGGGCAGCATCCATTATTTAAGCCTTCGTTATACAGTATTGTGTTGAATTGAGGAAATAATTGAATGACTATTTGGAAAATCTTGCTTGTAATGAAATCTTCCTCTGTAACTTTCTTAGTATATTTCTCTACAATGTTCCTTATTTCTTGTTGCGTAAATGAGGTGTCATTTTATGTTTGGATAGATTATAATACACAGTCTTGCTGGACTGTTTTTTCCTCTTCCTCATAGGTGGGATAAGGGTGTTGATCATGTACTGATCATGGTTTCTTCGAATCTTTCTGTAAGTGATCAGTCTGGTATTCCAAGAAATGTAATAAAAATGTTGTTTTTTTCTAATTTTCCGTGCAGCAATTTTATAAATTGTTCCATGGATTTGTCGATGTGTTACATCAAGTATAGTTTCTAGTTGAATGTTCGAATTTTCTTGTTGTTTAATGGTAGTATGTTTTGAGTACTACTCTGTTTATTATTTTGTCTGGTTCTTTGGTGTCTTCTTCAGAGAGCATTTGTTAATTTTCTTATTGGTGTTAGTTCCTCCGTCCACCAAGGAACTGCTCTGTTTGTAAGTAATATTTATCTTACCTTGCTCCTGATATGAAAATATTTTACATACTATAATTAAAGATGATTGAAAGTTTTCCACCATTATTTCAATATTGTCTCCTTTCACAATATATGGTAATTTTTTTTGTAGTTCTTTGGCATTTGTTCCTGACTCTCTTAACTAATTAATTAGTTGTGACATATTGTTAATTGTTCTTCAAATTTTGATACTTATTATTTATATATTTTTTGCTTGGAAAGTTATTTTCTTCTGTCTGGTAAAGATAACTGAATTTCGATATGTAAATATTCTATTGAAACTAAGACTTCATCTGATATTTACTGAATTAAGAATGAATCAATATTGGGAGTTGCGATTACAATTGCTGTTCATTTTGCCCGATCATGATGAAATTTTTAGTATCTATAAGGAATCCCTATAACCTTGGTTTCTTGTATATATGGTTCTTAAATCTGTTCTTGTTTCTCTATTGTTTTCAAAAGATCTGTTGTCCTTTAAATATGGCAAAAGTTAACTTGTATTATTTCCACATGTCGAGGTGGATCGGTCCACGTCCTTACGGGAAATGCAGGGAGGTCTCTCAAGTATTCCTTTTTTTCCACTAGTCATATTTCATAACCCCATCGTTCTTCTTTAACATCCTGTCAATTTTCTTCTACCTCTTCTATTTCACTGCCCCCTTGTATGCAGAACGCCCACCAAGGTGTTGGCAGTGCATGGTGACCCGTGTCGGAGGGAATGCGTGTCCTGGCAGTTGAGGGACCTGTTGGTTTCCCAACCACTCCTTGTGGTACTTTCTGCTTTGCACCTAGGGATACGTTAACGTATTTTGGGGAACATTCTTTGCCGGTTTCCAACACACTTGTAGTTGTATTCCTTGTAGGTAGCTAACACACTCCCGATCAATCGGCTCGGACTAGCTCTTCGCCTGAACTCCAGGGTGAGCGGGGGGACCCACGGCGAGTATACGATATCTTCAGCCACTATACGATATCTTCATCTCAACAATGGCACCCTAGTGGGGTGTCCCCTTGGACTCCGTTGTGGGTGAGGAGCACGAAGACTAATCCGCTTCAATTCTATAGAGCATAAAACAAACCCCTTGCGGAAGGAAGAGGCGATGTTTTGAGAGATCGGTGGATTTCAGTATTTTCTTCTTTTGCGAAGAAGATAAACCAAAGAAGCCACATTTCCTTTTGATGGCATGTACGGAAGAAGGAAAAACATTGTTAGGGAGATCCCTACTCCCACTCTGATCTTGACGTTTAATCTCCTCTCACAGATAGGATTAGTTGTGGATTTTATAATCTCCACGTGCGGCATTATGTGCCAACCCCCGTGCGTTTGTCCAAGTGTTTGGCCAAGCTCTGTGTGCATGTCCGGAAGCCCTGTTTGTGCAAAATGCGGCAAATCCACAAACGATACGCATCCATGTTTTCTCCCCGCTTCGCTGTGTTAACTGTGAAGAAGACCATGCGGCAAAGTCAGTTGCTCTACATATATGAGAAAGAGGGAGATCCAAATAATCAGTGACGGAGAAAGTATATTTTCCCGAGGCGAAACGTCAATACTCAGTGAAGAACCCTGTAGATCACGAGCGTTCATTTTCTCGTGCTCTGGCAAAGACTGCAAAGGCAACGGAGTTGTCACACAATACCTGCTACTCTCACAGTTGCTCATTTCTTTTGCCTGGTGTCTCTGGTGGACTTCCCTGAGGAGACATCGCCTCTGCAAGGTGGGAAGAAAATACTTCCTGCCAAATACAAAATGTCCAAGAAAACCACACAGGCGAAGTCGGACCTAGAATTCACTTCTCAGCCCCGCATGAAGACCGATGTCACTTGACCTTCTGGCCCAGACAAACTAAACGATTGTTTCTCAACTCCGACCAGAAGAGAAGCAACATATCATTTGTTATAACTCTACTCTCATGAAACCTAAATAGATTTCGCACCCGTTTAGACCAATTAAAGCTGATGTCTCAGTATATACCCATTGTTTTCTGCCTGCAGGAAACTCTTCCTCTTGAGCCCCCAACTCTTCGTAGTTTTTGTTGCTACAGGCAAGACATTGATGATAGACTACCTGGTGTTTAAGGAAATAGACGTACGAACCATTCTTCAGACATCTTGCGTTTGTGAGAACTACCGCTCTATATTGATAACTATTTGCAACGTCTACATTCGCGAAAGAAATACGGATATCGGAAAACTGTCCAAACGATGTCGATGCTATGGTTGCCCATTTTACTGATACCGTTAATCATGCGGCATAAATTGCGAAGTTGTCACCCACGACATTCTTCCATGCCATGGTGGAATGCAGACTGTGCCACCTCGGTGCGTGATCGGAAACGGGCTTTGGCAGAGCTTATTCTCAACCATGGATAACCTGATCAATTATAAAAAAGCGCGCGCGTGGAGAGCTTATATTTCATCACTCTTGCCGTACTTCCCGTTAAGTAGTGTGGCGAAAGGTTGGACATCGGTTGAAGACTTTCTTCGCTGTCTCTGGGCTTCTGCTAAATGGAAGTCTTCTCACCTCCCTAGAAGATATGGTTGAAGAGTTATCGGCAGCGATGGTGTAACGGTTAGCGTACTGGATTGTTGTATCCAAGTTGGCGGGGTCAAACCCGATCGAAGCCGTGGATTTTTAAGGGCGAAAAAATCCTTCGTACCTCTTCCTTCGGAGGGGAAGTAAAGCCGGCTGTACCATGTTAGTAGATTTACTTGCATGTAAAAGATCCTCAAGCCTAAATGACGCCTCTGAGCTAAATTCAAATCGCCTGTTTCTCGCCCAAGAAATACCTTTCTCCGCTAGATGAAAGGAACGTAGCGAAATTTGCGTGGTCAGACGGAAGAGCGGGCCTGATGGCCCGAGTCTCGCCACGTAAAATAAGGCAAATTCAATTCAAAAAAGAGCTGGTATCACTACGATCATATCTCCAGCTCCGTACACTGCTCTCCTAGCTTTCTCAAGACCAAAAGAAGAATGGAGAACTGCAGACTAGATTTCTCGAGTCTCATGGAGGAAGATTGCAATGCTCCCGTTTTCCATAGATGAATTTTCTTGTGCCCTCGCTTGTCCAAAATATTCCGCTCCAGGACCAGACCAGACTAGACACATAAACAAATGCTTATACCGGAAAATGCTCGTTCTTTTCTCCTCCACATTTTTACTTGATTTGGGATGAACATTCCTTACCAAGGATTTGGCGTGAAGCAATTGTTATTCCAATCCCTAAAAACGGAAAGGGCAGAACAATCCCGGAGTATTACGGCCCAATCTGTCACACGCTGTGTGTGCAAGCTTTTAGAACGAATGGTAAACCGTCTGGTCTGGCTCCTGGAGCACAGGAATCTATTTACACCTTTTCAGTGTGGTTTCAGAAAGCACAGTCAACCAGTCTCGCTTGCCACTCAGCTCTCTTCTTTCGTGCTTCAACACTTCGTAGCAATTTTTTCGACATAGAGAAAGCGCAGTACACCACCTGGAGATACGGCATTCTTCGCACCTTGCATTCTTGGGGCCTTAGGAGACGGCTCCCTTCGTTTCTAATTGATTTTTCTTTAGTCAAGATCTTTCGGCGCCTTCCATGGTGACACGTTATGTCCAAATCGCCAGTTAGAGTAAGGTGTTCACGAGTGATCAATTTAGTGTCACCCTGTTTAGCATTGCTATCAATGGTTAGCATTGCCATTAATCTGTTTTCGAGAGCTTGTGAAGGCATCGCTCTTCGTTGATGACTTTAGCATATTCTACTTCTCGAAGAGCATGCAAGGTATTGAGGGGCAGCTATAGCTTGTCCTCAACAAACTGCAAGAATGGGGCTCAAACTGTGCTCAAGTTCTCCACCTACAAATCCAGTTCCATGCACTTCTGTAGAATGTATTACTTCCATAATCATCCTGATCTTTTTTTCGGAGAGCCATAGACCTTCCTTCGCCGAATCTGCACTTTTCTTGGCCTTACATTCGACAAGAGTTTAACACTGCGAAAGCGCATTCAAAACTTGAATAGATTCTGTGTATTATTTTTGAACTTTCTTCGCACCTTTACTGGTAGATCATGGGGCATATGCAGACAGAATGCTTTTTGCGCCTATATAGGACTTTCACCCATCTAATCTTAGATTATGGGTGTATTGTTTATGGCATCTCCATCAACTCTCAGGTCAATGGATACCATACACAATGCACACATGTCTCTTGGCCGAGGCTAGTGAACCAGCCCTGAGACGAACACGAGATATTGTAATTGGCTCCTATGGTGCAAAAGTATCAGCTATAAATACTCCTTCACGCCAAACACTTCTTCACCCAAATCACAGGACATCGTACGAACTTGGACAATTGTTACCCTCTCTTCCGGGTATCCGTCTCTACACGCTCTTGCAGAAACTCGATTTAAAACTCCCCATCCGTGTGACCCCCCCCCTCGAAATCTTGTTCCCCCTTGGAAGCTACTCCGGCCTAAAATAGACCTGAGATTCACACTTCCCCAAATACACAACTCCCTCGCTAATTTCTGGCAGAATTCCAGGAGACGAAATGCATGCATCCTGGCTATAACTTAATATACACTGATGGTTCCTCCCAGAACTGTAATGTAGGATTTGCCTTTTACTGCCACAGTGATATGCGGCGTCTTCGACTACCCTTCGTGCAGCGCTTATACTGCAGAAGAAAATGCACTCTGGGAGGCACTTACGTTCGCTGAATCAATGGCATTAAAAGAAGCTCTGGTCTGATTCAAAAAGCTTGCTCGAATCTATCGCCTGCTTCTCTCCTTGTGACCCTCTGAAAATAATCGTCCAACACAAATTCCACAATATTGCTTTAACGAGGAAAAGTTTTTCAAATGAATTATGATGGTTTCTCCAAAATTAAAGTATTCTGTGAAAACTAATTTGATAGCTTCAAAAACGATAGAGCCACATTCTTTTCAAGAACGACGCCAAATCATCTTGGTGAAAATTTGCTGATTCCTCGTCAGCATTACGGCTAATTTTCAATACTTTTATTCTGACTAGTCATATTTTTTCGACTATTAGATCAACATACTTCGAAAACGCGAATAAACGTCTTTTATGCTTTGAAAGGTAGCAGCTGGAAAGAACTTAGGGGAGAAAAACTGAAAAAAGTGTGGACTAAAGAATTGGAAACTAGTACGAAAAGGTCTGCGCCATTCTACAGCATCACTTGACTCGGTATGGATAACGACCAGAATGTTTCAAATTTTGGTTATAAATAAAATATTGTATAACAAGGGGCAAATTCTGCTTGTAACAACACTTTGGCCGCACTCTCTTGTTGCTACTGTCATTCAGTCGGCGCAGTGGCGTCAGTACTTTCCGTGCCCCATCTCTGCCGGTACAAGGGAATTGTAATAAATTTGAGATTGAATAGTATTAATCTATATTTTGTATTAGGAAAGAAATAGAAAATATGAAATAGAATATGAAAACTTTTGTTTCTTGCATTTCACTACTAATGATACCTTTGTGCTTTTAGAATAATGAATGTCCAGACAGCTATTTCCGTGCCACGCTTGCAATACACTTAAACTCACATGTTTGCAGATTCTACAATGGTCCTGAATCCATTTCTGAAGAGAGTTCCAGAGGAATTGAAGACGATCTTTATAAATGACTTCATGAGAGAATATCAAAGAGAAAAAGTGAAATATATGTCGATGGTCTCCAGACAGGAATTAGAGCAAAACGACACATCATTATATCATTCAGTTCTAATCACGCACGTGGAGAAAGACAATCAAGATGTCTCGTGAAGTATGAAGTTCGGCCACCCCGATAATCCCAAGACCACGAAATTAAGGAACTGACTCTGAAGTGGATAAATTTCTTTTTTTAACATTACATGGAACAAATCTTTTGACCTCTTAGATAATACGGGCTTGGAGTGATTTATTAAATTCTTGGTAACAAGCAAAGATTTCAGAATGAATAGTAAAAATGTATTATACATGGTAAAAAAAGATACAAATAGAAAATACTCACAAAAAATAGAGCTCTTTAAACAAATACATTTTTTAAATAAGTTCGTTCTCGTTTTAAATAGTTCATCTGTAATAGAATCAAAAGTTAAATTGAAAACCATGTAATAGAAGCAAGTAACCAAAAAATCAGTTACTTTTGGGAAATATGTAAATTCTTTGTTGCTAATGAAATAAAAATGATTTTCTTAAGAAGTTGAGCTTTTATTCATTTTGAAAGCCCGTCCGTGAGTTCGTCTGAATGAACTATGGATAATCACTTTTCATACCCAATACTAAACCCCATAACCTTGTATACTTGCAATTGTGTACAAATAAGATTTGATGATTGTTCATATTTGGCCTTTCAGTTTATAACACTTTTTCAATTATTGTTGTACTTACTTAATACAATTAAATATGCTTTAAGTATTAGGCTTTTATTATTGCTACAGTTTCAAGGTTATCAGGCTATAACAAAGAATATTTACAATTGACAATGGGTAAATATTAGATTAAGTACATTGAATTATAGTACAAAAATTAGTTTAAATGTAGATAAAAATATATTAAACTCAAGACTAATAGTAACACAAATAAGTATATGGAGCTTACCTTTTACACAGTAAATTAAGCTTTCTTTTTCTTTTTTATTTTAATCTATCCATAATACTACTCAATCATTCATGCCATATGCGTTATGGATAGATTAATGATACAATTCTTAGTTGTAAAAAGTAAGCTCCATATGCTGTAACACCTCGGACCCTTATTTTACTTTTTCACAAAGTGACTTTTAAACTAATCGACCTGACCGCAGCAGGCACTATTCTCCAAGAAAGGGGGTGGTGAATGATTCCCAGGGTGACCCGACTTACCTGTTCTCCTGATTTCCCGTTAGCAGCGTCTCCCCGGTTGCTCAGTGTGAAATCTTGGATGGACTCGTGCTTGATCGGCTTTTCCGTCACTAATGCATTGTAAGCTTAACTAAAGGATTTTAAACCCCATTTCATAGCCGAACCGAGGCCTCCAATTACAATATTAATTTTTTAAACGTAACATAAATAAACTTAGCTCATTGACCATGCCCTTTCGGATCAGCGTTCGAGCGATCGGACCATCAGGCGGGTGGGGCGTCAGCCCAGCGTTGATGACCAGCCGTGGCGCAAGGGGTGCCCTCTTCGACGTCAGCAGCGAGGCACGGTCCGAGAGCCTCCCTCGCGCCTCGAAAGCGGGCGTCAGCAGCTTGGCCCGGCAGTGGTCACGCCTCTGCCCGTCATAAGTTCTGGCCCGAGTTCGCGCGCTCTGGCAGACCAGGGCCCTATAACTCCCATATAACGTGGTGGGGACCATTACAGTGGCGCGCTCTAGAGCATCATCTTCTTACACGAACAAAAATACGCACTGCTACTAACGTTATTTAAAACGTGCGTGGGTTCTCGGGACACACACACGCGCGTGATACAAAAGATTGCGCCGCTCCGCTGTTCGCGCTACATTTTCTTTCATGCGTGCATTATGAATAAACGAATTTTAGAAGATAAACACATAGTATGTAACTTCTTTTGTAATTTATTTCAGAAATCGCTCATAATCAAAGTGTATTCGTATTTCTTGACCAATTTTATGCGGGAAAGTTGACGAGCCTTACCAGCAGCTGTACTACTAGGACACTAGCGCATCCTATTGTAGCAACTCATAGTTTTGTCCCCAATTTTCATGGAGAGTTGCCGGGCCCTGTGGCAGACATTGGCGGCCGAGTGCACACCTCACGGCGATTGTCCGGCGTGCGGCCCAGACCAGGCGACACACGAGTGATGTGGCGGCGATGGCGGTCGGGCGAGTAGTCAGCGGCGCGGCGCCTCGCGGCGTGGGGCAACGAGCCAACATAACTCGCTCATCTCCTCCATCCGAATGCACGAGCGTAGAGCCGCAGTGGCGAGGTCACGTGGCCCTCTCCCTCTCAATTTTCGGCGATTGGCAGTCTCGAATCACGGAGTGGGCGCTGTCCAAACCCGGTGTCATCGGCGACGGTTGGCGTACTAAATGCACATTTAATTGTATTATGTAAAAACAATAGTTAAAAATGACTTATCAACTGAAGGTCCAAATATAAAGAATCATGAATTAATAAAACAGACACGTGAATTTTAACAAATATTTTACTAGTGTAGCAGTTTTAGAACTCTTGCATGTGAAACCCCACACTTTTCCCTGTCTTTCAATTTACATATTAAGAAGGATGTTAATTAAACGTGTTTGTTTAAAAGAATGTATAAAAATATCTACTGGCTCATATTTTTTTACAATCTATCTCCCACCACTTGTTCTGTCCTAATAATTCTACAAACTGAACATTTTAAAACTGTTCAATACATCCTTGTCAATACAAACTATTCTTATTTAACTTTATTACCGAACGGAGAATTACACCTGTGCCATTGAACCGCTTAATATAAGTAATTAGTTTAATTTTACCAACAGTTCCAGATTCTGCACGTCTCTGAATATGTGGGGTAGTATCGAGAAGCACCGAACCATCAAAAAATGTAATAGAATGTCTACGACGGTGCTAACCAACGCATTGCCCTGAGACTTCAAACTGGCGATCGCTTCCAGGACGATCTCTTCCCCTCATTGCCTCCCACGACAGTCCAAAGCGCATCTGGGTATTGGGAGCAATACAAATAGACAAAGTAATTTACGCAGTGTCTTGACGCACGCCTATCTCACAGCTCGGTCAACCACGGCGAAACACGTACGCAATGCATCGAACACTATAATAAAGCTACTTAAAGGCTTCCATGCAATCTCCTTGCGCTTCTGACCGCCAGCACCGACCGCCACACCGGCGACGATCCGGCTGCCGGAGGGTGTCATTAGCAAAGAACTGTGCCCGTCTCCCAGGCGCGCGGTCGCGCCATCGACGTTCACGCCTCCATCGCCCCAACAGCTGTCTATAAACATTTCTAAGACGCGTGCCTCTCGCTAATACTTTACTAAAAGCATCTCGACCATACGCATCTGCAATGCGGGCATGCGCGTGTGGCCGCCCCCTCCGTCTCTTAACCAGCACGCAAGATGCCTCGGTTCCGAGAGAACCAAACTGCAAGTATTAGAAATGCCATCCCACCATTGTGGGCATCTCACGTGTCACCGCTGCCAATGTCACGTGACGCTCCTCTCTCCGGGCCGAAAGACGCTAGTAAATAGCGATCAACTATCACAGGCACCTTGCCACTCACGGCATACAATACGCAAGCTCCTAACGTTACGTGGCCCTCTCTTACCTGGACTCGAATATATTTGCAAATTTAATTACGGCAACTAGCTCCCACACAACTGTCATAATAAATGCACTACTCAACTGTAACAGTGTGTCACAGACCATCCCGGACACAACTATCATAGACTTACTCGGTCAAATACTCGGACAACTACTACTCACTAATCGCTAATAAAAACTGCTCGGACAATTACAAAGTACTACAACTTCGCTACTGCTGCTTAGAGCTACTTGCAGACATAATAGACAGCAATGTAACTCACAAGCTTAGGCAACAGCCTACCACCATGTAAGGTGCAAACGACAATTGACTCATCCGTCAATACTACTGACGTGAATATCAAAAGCCGCTCCACTGGCAGGAATCCAGCGTACAAATCGGATGCTCTTGCTTCGTCTACCAAGTCATCAATCAACCAACGCTAGGGCTGCTAGCTCTACATTCGGGACACTCACGAGCATCAGCCGTCATCTGACGGGGTTTACAACAAACTTCACAAGTGGGCAGCTCCAGTCCCTACCGAATCCGCGCCCGTTGACACATCCAGCCCGCTAGCCGAATCTTCTGGAATCATCCTCAGCTCTGACGACATCTACACACTCAGCCGTGTGATTTCGGTTGGTGGTTGTAGTAGAACAAACTGTAAGTAAAGTGAACTTAAACTTCAAGAAAGACGAACAACCGTAAGCTCTATAAACTTTCGTTGGTCCTCCAGCTTACTACAATCTAAATTAATTCACTTGTACCTAGCAGGATTAAATTTCAGTTCATTTATAATAGTATTTTGCTTTTTATTCAAATTAAAAGGAAATAATCCCCTGGAACCCACTCTGATCATGTAGGTAATCACACTCGCTACACGGCACATCCTCCCGTGTTGCATCTGCTACAGAGACGCCACAAACATATGCTCGCCTGCTGCGAACCCAGCCGCGGATCAAAGGACGTGCCCTACGCTGAGGCGGGCGCACAGTGTGCCAATGAAGGTACGGAAGTGGGGGAAAATTTCGCTTGGAAAATAGAAAATTAGGGTTTTTGATTGGCAATTATTAGTTATATGATTAAAAAACAATATGAAGAATTATATAATATAACATATAATTATTAGACTCAAAACAATATGCGACTGTTTAGCATAACCAATATGTAATTCCGCCGTAACATTTTTAAAACACAGTTTGACAAATTTTAGGACAATTATATAGAATGGAATATATGGTTAATGGTACATAATGTTTCTATAACGAAATAGTTTGTTCTGAAACAGTAATAAATGTTATCTAATAGATAACAAATAGGTACCCGGTAGGAGTCACATGTGACAATTTGAAACACAGGCTTGATTTTTTTGTGTGTACAGTTTTGTTTGAGAATGTAAATCCTTGTGATTTTCAGTAACTTTTCTATAATCGTCATTCTGATTCCTTCATTCTTTTCTCTCAATTCTTTTACCCATCCCATCATTTGAAGCTATGTCAATTACCAGAATTTATTTTTAACTCGCAGCTTTCTCTGAGTCGCAAGGCTACATATTGCATCTGTAGGTTGGACTTTTTAACACACTGAAGTTCTTTCGATCACATTAAACACTTTGCTATTATTCCAATGTGTACAAAAGGAAACCTTTCTTCCCAAAGCAAATAAAATTAACGAGTGTTCATGGCTCGCCCTTGCTAGAAACACCGACAAAGCTCACTATCAAAAATTTCGCAACCCGACCGCAGTCTGCCCCTCTTTTCCTCCTCCTCTTCCATTTGCTTGCACTGCTCTTCCAAGTGCCATCCCCGAAGGGGAAGGTGGCTCTGACGTAATTTATTCTCTAGTTCGCCAACGCAGGTCTAAGATGATTTCATCCTGTAGAGTAGTGTGCGGAATGTTTCCTTGAGGTCTTTCACCTTCAATATTTAGATGCGTTTTTTTAAAAGAAAG